AAAATACGGTCAATTGTATGGTCCAGTAATGCCTCTACTTCGACTTCTGCACTAATCTCTGTAATGGTGATAGCAGTACGGGGTGTATAACACAGTTTTTTTTCGATTATATCACTGCTTTGTAAGGAGGAAATAATTTGGAGTTGTTTTCTTTGCTTACTGCTCTTAGTCCTTGGTATTGACTCTTTGAGAATTTATATTCGACCAAAATGGAAAGTGCTGTCTCTTCGGATAATGGAATTTCATTTGTTACTCCTTTAGCTCTTCGGTACTTAGAAGCTCTTAATGGACTCGTCGATGTTATCTCTTTCAAAACTGACGAAGCGTCTAATTTTCCTGTAGATCGAAGGCTCATTTGAGTAGCGTATGCTAACTCCTCCGAGGTGAAGCTTCCACGAATACCTTCGGTTTTCCTTCATTTTGACCGATAACTGGAAGTTTTAAACTCCTTAGACGGGCGGTCACCTTTATCACTTGGTGTTGTCTGGACAGCGGCAGGTACGGCAAAAAAAACCGGCGCGCTGAGCTATTCTTTATTGTTCTTCAAAAAGGATGCCTCAGTCCTACGAGCCGCTTGCCATTGTCTGCATTTTATTGAACAGCATTGTAAACGATGTTCTCGAGTCCTCAGATACCTAAACTAAGCGTTTACTCTGTTCAGACAGTTTTTCTTCAAGAATTTTTATAATTGATTTTGAATCTTCTTTCAGATACTGTTTGATGGTGATAAATATCTCTTTCCTCGTATACGATATTTCTTTATACGTGGATTCTGTAATTAAGACATACGATTAAAAAACCGATTAACATATGATAATTCGGAATATTTAACAGCTTAAAGAAATAACATACAAACTGACATGATCTATACTGACATGACTATATTAATTACAATCACCGAAGGAATATTAAATTATTAAATCAACAAAAAAATTTTTCCCCGAAAAGTTTATAAAAACAATAGTTACAAAATATAAACTGACTTTATGGACTACAATATTATATACAATCGCTCGGAGGATACTTCTCTTTTGGTTGAATATTAACAAACATGTTTTCCCCAAAAATGTATAAAAATAGTTACAATACATGAATTGACTTTATGGACTTTATTGATTACATTAGTTGAGAATTGCATTGGCGTATCCTCATGTTGCAAAAATTAACTGCTTTTTCTCTATTGATTGATTATGTAAGATATTGGTTACAATCGCCCAAAGGATACTTTCGTCTTTTTTAATAACATTAAATCAACAAATTATTTTTTTTACCATAGTTTATAGAACCAATATTTATATGTACATAAAAATAAATATGCGCCGCGGCGTTATACTAATACTTCGAGCCGGATTTTACACTCTTATTGTGTATGCGAGGCAGCAGCTGCTTTATTGTGCCGTGCGTGTGCGTGTGCGCGGTCGACAATCGCATGATGTGAAAAACATAATAATAATCTGGTTTTAGTTAATTTCGCAAGATAATAAAGTAAACTAAAAGCCGACACTTTGGATTTCGCGGAACCAATTGGAACCGATAACTTTTTGAATAGTTGAAAATGTAAGTTTTCAAAATTCTTTAATTTTATTAATGCAAGAGTTTATACTACATTTTAATAATGTACACATTACATTTGAGCTCAATCATTGTAAAAATATTTTCTACATACCTCCAAAAATCGTATCCATGTCTCAGAATTAAAATTGAACACTTCAAACTGACGCAGCGACGAAGGTATACGGTCAAAAACGGTTACTCTTCCACAATGGATGCATCCGTTAGTCCTCTACCTGACTGACTGCTCAAAAGTACCCATTTAGAAAATTCATTTAATTAGGTTTTGACCAGGATTTCGGGATTTGGCCACACTGTGCATGGGAGGCATCCATTGTATAACACCCGGAATTGCCATTGCTTCTGATCTTCGTCTAACAAAAATGCCGTCAGCTCAGTACGTCGATAATTCTGTTAGCATTGCACTACGAAGGCATGCGAACATAAACTTTTCCAGTCTACAGGGGATTCCTATTATAGATCTCCGTACTATTTCTTCGGTCGCAAATACAATAATGTCAGCAACTTCAGATATGCTGTGGATCTACGGGAAATGGGCTGATTTGCCCAATATACCTTGATGGAATGAATTTATGGAAAAAGTGAGAGTAAAACATTCATATCAGAAATCTTTTATAGCTTGTTTGCCTTTGATTAATACACCACCGACTACGATTTTTACTGTTTTAGCATTAGCCTCTGAGAAAATTCATTCATCTCAACACGTGTCGTATTGAAAGATGAGAATCACAATGCAGGTCATGCATAATCTAGTCCAATCAGAGCCCATGTGTTCATCTCGCAAAATTGATCATGCAGAAAACTGATTTATCAACAGACCAACACGCAGGACTAGAAGCAATTTTATGAGCGAATTAGACAATTTTGTAATAAATCTTAGAGTAGACCAAAAAGAATGCGTCAAAGAATTAGCTTTAAAATTTGCAGAGCTTGATTTTTCCTAAAAATTTCGAGTTTATATTGTTTTTGATTTATGAATTTTGTTAAATTTTAACCTCCTCCCTCCCATTTTTATTCAGATTTTTTTTTTTAATAAAAAGGGTTCGTTCCATTGTAGAACTAGATTTTTCCTGAAATTTTCATGTTGAAACTGTTTTTCGTTTTTAAATTATGATTTTTTTTTAATGTTAACCCCCCCTAACCTCCCCATTTTTAATCAGATATTTTTAAAATAAACTGGCTTCGTTCTATTTTAGAGCTTGATTTTCCTGAAAATTTTAATTTAATATCATTTTTCGTTTTTGACTTATCGTGCGGACAAAAAACGTTACATCGGACGGACATTTTTAAAAGTTGTTTGAAGAAAAGGATTTTGGTACAAAAATTTTTAAATTTTCATGAATATTAAAAATTTTGATTTCTTGAAAGTAAACATCCCAGGCAGCAGACTGACGTCATTGTGACATCTTATTTTTGTCATACAGGACATCATTTATCCTATAAAAACTAACATGATAATGACGGTAAAATGTTGTGAATATGTCACAGCATAAATGGCGTCATATTTAGACGTCCTTTTCACGTCTAAATATGACGGCTTTATGATGTTTCCTAGTAGTCTTTGTAGTTTAATTGAGACGTCACCAAGTCGTTATATTTGACATTGTTACTCCTTTGTAACTTTTCTATGGGAACTGTGGGTCACTTAATAAAACAAAATTAGAAAATGAAATATTTATAAATAAAAAAAAAAACAGTTTAAATACATGAAATGCTATTGGCAAAAAATATTAATTTACATAAATCCAACTGCTCCAAATGTGACCAACTTGTTCGTTATTATTTTGTCTTTGGCACAATTATGAAGACTATGAGTGTCGCCATTTTATACTATTTCACGAACCTAAAAACATTTTAGAAAACAGCCTATGAATGTAATAGATATAAAATCATTTAAGAATAAGGAAAATATAGATATAAAAATACTAACAGCCGTATGCATAGTCGATCGCCAGCGACTCGCCAGAGATTCATTCCGGCGTTTCGCCAGCGATTCGCTGGCGATCCGCCGGCGAAAGCCCAAAAAAGGTGGCGTCTTGCCAGAGATTGTCACCGGAATGTTATTTCACGCAAGTTTTTATTTTCTTTTATAGGGATTATCACCGGTATCTCTCGCATTTTATTCATGATTCATTTTTTTTAAATTCAAAAAATAATGAACGAATACCAAGTTTTTCCCTATAAAAGAACATGAAAACTTGCGTGAAATGACATTCCGGTGACAATCTCCGGCGAGTCGCCAGCTTTTTGGGCTTTCGCCGGCGGATCGCCAGCGAATCGCTGGCGATCGACTATGCATACGGCTGTAAAAGTCACATACCTTATAGTGGGTTAATATTGCTATAACTTTTTTCACTGACCTTTTCTTAACTTTTAACGAAAATCCTGAATGCATACGGGCCACGATCCACGATGCACATATGGCCGATGCAACAATCCGCGATACCGTTCTCGTGCTTGCTCGAACGGCTCGAACACACACGAGCTATATTCCACAGACCGATAACCACAGACAGACGCAGTCTTGTGTCACGTGGTGTCATACAATCTTTGTGCATTTTAAGCGCCAGACTTAAACGTTAAAAGACCTAAGAAATGTAAAAAATAATTGTTAAAGCAATATCATTTTACATAAATAAAATGTATTGAAATCATGTTTAATATAAACCTTAATTTAATAGTGACAATAAATTGACGTCACACTGACGTCGATGACCAAGAATTACCAAAAAAGGTCGTCAAAATGTCGTCAGTCTGCCACTTTTCACAGACTAATGCGTAAAGAATATAAAAAGACCCCACATTACCCTTAGATAACTCATTGCTTGGGGGGTGGGTGGCTCAGTGGTTAGAGCCTGTGCCTGTGGATCCAAGGGTCCCAGGTTCGAATCCCACCGTTGGCCGGAATTTTTTCATTTAATTTAATTATTTAAAATTAATTCTGATGCCTTGGTAGGATTCCCCACTCGACCATTCACTGTTGGGTTCTAATTAACAGTGCTGTTCCTAAAGTGGCGCTAGGAAACAGTAACAAAGCCTACACAGAACACACATGATTGAGAATTTAAAAAACACAAATTTGAGACTGGCATATTAGGTATATACACCTAGGCCATAAATCGAAAAAAAAAAAAAAAAAAAAACTCATTGCTTTAATGTAAACCATTTTTGGAGTAATTACCTAGATTTTTGGTTTAATTTAGTGCTTTACTTTTTATTCAATAATTAGTACATTATCTAAGACTTTTTTTTTCCTTAAAAAATCAATTTTAAAGAAAACATTTTATAACACAAAATGCCAATGGAGGATTTAAAAATGTTGGTTTTATTCTTTTTTTATGTTTACCTGAAGATTCGTTAATTAGAAACGCCTTTTTTTATATATTTTTCTCTTTAACTTTAATCAATATATTTTATTTTATTTTCAGATTACTCGCCAGCAGAGTGAAACGAAAACACATATCCGCCAATGCGGTGGCCACTGAACAAAAAGCTTCCAAAGTCCTCGGCATCGTTTTCTTCACATTCGTCCTTTGCTGGTCGCCATTTTTCATCCTCAACATATTCTTCGCCGTCTGCCCAGACTGCAACGTGCCCAAGGACGTCGTCATGGTGTGCCTGTGGCTGGGCTATGTCAGCTCGACAATCAATCCCATCATCTACACGGTGTTTAACAAGACCTTTAGGGGAGCTTTCATCAGGTTGTTGCTATGCAAATGCCAAAGGTATGTCGGTGTTTCGCCCTTTACAACCAGCGGAAGGGTTTCTTCGACCAGTTATTCTTAAAGGCTATTCTTTTTTGTAAGTTACGATTGTAAAGAAATTTTTGTGTGGAGTGTGGACATTCTTATAACTAATTTTGATTTAAAAACCAAGGGGTCCTTGTGAAAAATATTTAAATTAACCTTTGCCGTACCAAAAGTGGGTCAGCGATGACCCGAAATCCAATTTTTCAGGAAAAACTCGCGGCTCCGTGGCTTTTTTCCAGAGATATTCTGTGAATTCTCCTAATTTATGACAAGAATGTTGCCTTTGGAATGAATTTTCCTCGGAAAACTGTCAATGGGTCACAAACGACCTGGTTTTGGGAAACAATGGTTTGCGCTAAAACTCTCCAACTCGACAAGCTGTAGCAAGGTTTTTTCCCATTTTATTGCACGTGTTCGTAATCTCTCGCTTTGTCCCTTAGTCTGCAATTGAACGTTACTTAGTCCATTTTATTTTTTGTGAATAAGCAATAGTCAAGTGTGATGTGGTCTAACAAACAGAGTCTATCCGATAGAGACCTCTACGAAATCCTGTCTTCAGATGACGAGTTTTAAGAAGAAATACCTTTGGTGCAGACACTAAGTGATTTCTCAAATGTTGAGGACGTAGAAGCTGAGAGACTTGAAGGCAGTGTTTCATCAGAAGAAGATGAAAAAGTTCAATTACCGGATTCGCCAGAAGACGAAACAATAAGCAATAGGCAGTCGTATGATGTAGATAATCGTACTTGGTATACTGTAGAACCTAAAATATGAAAATCCAGATGTAACGTTCATTTTTGGCCCCACGAATTAATAAAATTGTTTTGGCTTACCTGGTTAATCATACGAAAAAAAAAGGGTAAAATCGTATGGATGATATCACTATTATTTTTGCCATTAACTAATTTCACCTGTATTCTAACTTTTGGACGTCATTATTACAATTTATTTCATCTCATCACTAAGTAAAAGGATGGTAGCTCACCCCTAGTATAATACTTTGTACATTGGTCATATTTGCGGTGTAGTGTTCACTGTTTTAATTTGCCAGACTCTCCTAAAAATAGACCAAGTTTCGTTGTAAATTTATACTTATTATGTATTATAGTCTCACCTTTGGGTAATTAATTATTTACGATACCATTCTTTAAGACTTTCTTTGTTTATTTTTGTTACAGATGTCAGGTTAGATTAATGTTTATTAATTATGACAGTGAATGACATGAACGTCATTTGACGACAGAACACCGACAAGTGTCATGTTTGTAGTACGTTCTAATATCGGGCTCAGAACCCGAGGTAAGGTAGTTTCACAATGAGCGATTTTAAGTCGTGAGGGATTTTGTTTTGCGATCGCTGTTGTGTTAATTTTTTGTCGGGAACAGTTTCCCAAATGTAGTTATACTGTATATAAATATAGTTTTTAGGGTACCTTTCGTAAATGGTCTGTTAAGTTATATAGTGGGGAATTCTTGAGGATGAATTTCTGAACCCACTTGACATTTATCGGAAAGGGATTTCGGCCATTTTGGACGGCTGACGTATTGTTTTTTTTCTGTCAGTGGTTATTCAGTCACGAGAGACGATTTTTGTGTCGAAATAGAATTTTCTTAATATTTAGCCCCATCGGCTTACCCTAATTAAAGGGGATTTTAGATTCTATTTCATGGTTAATTGTGGGTAAATGGACATTTCGTATTTTGAGGGGAATTTTAGTGAATTGGTAAATTCCCATGGTCATTGGTCCAGCCCATATCTAATATAGGATTTTAACGCAATAATCGGGAGTTCACAGCATTTGGAGTGTGGAATATTGTTGTACTGTGAATCATCTCACGTGGTTCTCATCCTTGAAAGGCTACCAAGTTAACCCTTTACGAAAAAGGTATGTTTTGTATATATTAGGTTATGTTACCAACCATGTGTAACAGAATTTTAATTATTGGAGCTCATAATACTGTTTATGACTCACTGTTGAGCCAATGTAGTTTTTCTTTATCCTAGATACTGAATATTTTCTAGTTTATGTACATTTTTGGGTAATCCTATAGTTCGGGATACTTGAGTCAATGTGTATTGACATTTTTCTTTGTAATATTTTAAGGGTTTAACCCAGGGGGTTGTTAGCCCAGGATTCGACGACAGTTTGACCCAAGGGATTGTTGACCCAGGATTTCAACAGTTGTACACAGAGGGTTATATCGTCCGGAGTTCAACGGTTTCATCGTGGACTCATCGAGGGGACACAGAACATTGGTATGCTAGCCACCTAGTTTACTTGTAGCTAGATTTACAATGATGATTCATCGTTCTGGATAGGAAGATGGGAATGCTGTGAAAGAAGACACCCTACTATCAGGTTTTTCTTATACGTTATATTGAAGGTTTCATGCGTGCTTTGTTAAACTATACATTCACTTTCAACCGAATGTTGTCAAGGTATTCTCAACATTATTTATACTTTTGAGCACAGAATGTTCTAAGGTTCTTTCACTCATTACTTAAGTATTATCAAATGTTACATCGTTTAATTGATTAATATTTTAAAGTTTTACTTAATTTAAGCACTTAATGCTGATGTAGTAATCCTTCGGGTCGCAGAACACTTGGACTGCTTCCACGTTTAAGTTGTAATTCTTCAGTCATTAAGGGCTACTGCCATAATTTTACTTTATTCAATTTATTCATTATTAAATGGACCAGACTTAACTATAAGTTAAGCAATCTCAGAAGACCCGTGTGGGGGCAGAGATTAAGTAACCTCTTCCAATCTGGGAGTTTAATTAAATAACCTCTGTCTAAAGTCCTTTATATGTTGTATTTTTATTATTTTTTTTGATATTTTTATTTAGTTCTATGAATTATACTTAATTATAAAATTTCATGGTTTAATAATTTTCTTTTGGGTAGTTTGGTCTTAACCAAAAGTTAAGCAGATATCGCCTTCCAAGTTGGAGAGGGTTATAAGATTATAAAGATTATAAGTTTACTGTTTTTATAATATATGAAGTAGTATAGGTACGGTGATGCACAATATTTAAGTTAACTATTATATTATATTTTTTTATGTAAGGTGGAAATTAATGTTTTGCGCAAGCGTCATGCCTGGTACCAAGCTAACGACGAACCGTTCCATACTTTGATACATTTATTAATTTTTTTGGGTTATGCATATACATACACTGTGTAAGTTTTTCCTTTTAATTTCCTCCAACTTTTTTTTATTATCTAAGCCATCAGGTAATTAGTTTGTATATTTACTAAATATTTTTTTTTTCTTTATAAAGGAACATAAGTTGAGGTTTGTCTTTTATTTCTTTCCTCATTTACTGGGTTTTTGGGGAAATAGGATCATAGTTTGGCCACTATATAGACCCAGTTGGCGCCTATTTATTTGTCTACTATTTCCGGAATTTTTGTAAGCTATCCACCCCCTAGCTGCCGTCTGAGCGACGTCGAAGGCCCGAAGGTTGACACCGGAACAACCGAAACTTGTGTAACCGTAGTAGACAACATTTTTAATTGTAGTTAATACTTTAATAATTTTTTTTTAAGTTTAAAAATTTTGGTGGAATCACCAAGTTCATTTTGTAGGTTACACAGATCATGAAATATCTTGCAAGAAAGCAAAGATCTCACAGATACGAGTAAGAATGTAAATTTTATTACTGACTGTTTCAAACTGTTTTTTTCTGTAGACTTATTAGATATTATTATAAAATACACAAAAAAAGGATAATGACTTCATAAAGACTTATAATGAAAGCCATAAAAAAAGTATGGAGTCATGGAGTGAGGTGGACACTACATAAATGCTTGCTTTCTTAGTAAATTTTATCCTCACCGGTATATTTCGTGAATCAAGAGAAAGTTTACGAGATTTATGGTCGACTACAAACAATGCATTCACAAGACCCATTTATCAGACCACTATCTCCAGAAATAGGTTTTTGCTCATTCTACGTCACCTCCGTTTTGATGACCTATCTACAAGAGCTGAGAGAAAGTAGCAAGATAAGATTGATCTAATTTGTGAGAGTACTGATATATTTGCCAATAATTGCAGAACATCTTTAGCTTCTGGGACTATTGATGAGCAGTAAATGTTCGAGATCGTTTTTCATTCAAAGTTTAAATACCAAGTAAACCAGGCAAATTTGATGTAAAAATATGTCTGTTGCTACAATTTTAAAGTGTATTTAGGAATATTGAATTGCATAGCAGAAAATAATCAAGGTCCTCGAGTCCTTGAGTAGCATCACCTTAGCAGAAGAACTTTTGTTCCAGAATCTAACAATCATGGGTACAGTTCGCAAAACTCGCAAAGACTTGCCAAAGTGCTTAGTAAATATTCAAAAAAGAGCAACCTATTCGTTCCAGTTCCTTTTTACATGGGATCTTACCTAAAGTGTCCTACGTCACCAAGCCCAAGAAATTTGTTTTACTGCTATCTTCAATGCATCATTAACACGAAATCGCCGAAAAAGATTTAAAATGTAAACCTGATATAATTATCTCACATAATGGTACAAAAAGTGGTGTAGACTGCTTGGATATAATATTACGTTAGGACAGTACCAAAAGGTGCACAGGAAGATGGCTAGTTCGTTTATTTTAAAACTGGTTTGACGTTACTGCTTATAATGCTGGACTCTGAAAAACCCAAACTGGAAGAGCACTAATTGTAACATGAAAGTTAGAAGGAAACTTTTTTTTGAAGATATGTTGACCCATAACCATATTGTACGACGGGCTGGAAATATTCATAAGGACAGTAGAGGGTTTTCTGCAAGTACATGTCTTGTTATTGAAAGTTTCAATAAAAAATCTGATGTGTCCAACACATGACTTTCCAATCTAGTTATTATAGGCTTTTTCCGGTTATTTTGTACAACCTATTGTAGCACCTCTATAAATGTTTAGAGGATAAACTAAATATATACATTTTCCTTATACATCTAACTCGAAATATTTTTTTATATAGATATTCATTGAAAATGAAAATACTGAAAAATTTAAATTTAGCACTTTTCCTCCAATTTTTCCATTACGGTCCATTTTGAAAAATCATGTAAAAAACAAAAATTAT